CACGACAGTGATGTTCCGACACAACCAGAAACTACCCCGAGAAATGATGCAGACATACTACATAACACAAAACGGATCCTTGTGTTTGAGCCAGCCCACAGTGACTTTGATGAAGAGCGAGATCGGCTTTTTGGATCTCGGATAATTCGGCTGGTATCGTGTTGAGTGAAAGAAAAAGCGCCAGGACCACGGAGGGGCATGCCTAGACGAGCAGCAGCATCATCATATGTATTTCCTTTTCAATCAAATCAGTTGCTCGTTAAGCGCTTGGCCTGTGTTTTCTCCTTTGTCTCTCTTTGTCCTAGTCGCACTGTAAGTTATAATGATCTCTACCGTAAACTCCCCCAATTGTCCATTCTGCTAAGCCTGAACAGTTCGGTCTTTTTTTGGTGACCAAATTCGGTCGGCAGCAAGACTGCTTTTTAGAAGTGTGAACGAACCATATGTTCTAGCAAAAAATGTGCCTATTAGAGAGGTTCAACTATTAGAACCATAGCTATACTTACTGACCTTATAATGTGAGGCCTAAGTTTCCACATTCCACCAGGATGTGCAAAGAGGTAGGCATTGGAATCTATGGAAGAAGCTTAGCAATGTTAAGGCATAGAAAGGTAATGGTTCTTTAAACAGCGCTAAGTGTATTGTTGGTTTCATTTCTGAAGTGTTTCGTGTTGTCTCTGTTTCTGTCATGTCCTTAAATCTCAGTGATTTGCTTTGTTCGTGGTTTGCAAGGTTTCAGCAGACCCGTCCTCTTATTTAAAAGGTTCTTTTTTTTAATTAGATGCTGTATATGGGGTGTCTGTTCATGCAGGCTTAGGCCATCCCAACAACGCCAGGACTGCTTTCTGCTGATCATTTTCATAACCTAAATATAATTCTGTTAGAACCCAGGGAACAATTTTTGCAACAGATATATCCCTCATTGCCTCTACGCACGCCTTATAAATTCTGGGAACTGGATGGAAATAGTGTATTAGGTTCACCACTATCTTTCGATGATTTTCCGAGTGATGCTGCCACACTCCACGAATGCGGCCAGCGGAAGTTCTCATTCAGCCACTTTAGGGCACGCAGCATTCAATCGGTTGAGGCGTTTTCAAAGCTGGAGGATATAGTGGTGCCTCGATTATATGACTTTCAGGAGACTGCGCGACAACATTGGATAATCCAAAAAACAACAATTACGGGACAAAGATATGCAGAACTTCCAAACAGCCTTTAAGCTGATAATCTGCTGGAATCTGAAGAAGCTAGAACCCTCATGCAACTATGAATGTAACCTAGAAATTGTGTAATAGAGGTGCCAATCAATCTTTATTATCACATTGGAACTTCAAAAGAAATCAGTGAGTTTCTGCTGACTCGTCCAGTCGTGCATAAACCGGGGACGCATAATTGGGGTTTTACTGTATCCACTGTGGGACACATTTCATGCTCGATCGCATAATGTGTAGAAGTTTCTTAAAAATTTCTGGGCGTTGCCTTTAAGGACTAGCATTTTCAAAATAAAAACAAACAAACAGGAAACTGCTTTAATAAACGATGCAGATCAGGCCTGGAATGTGCTCGACAGCGGATGTTTTCTTCAGCTTCGATAATACTTCCCCAGTCGACTGCTGCATGCTGCAAGATTGCCAATTCAGAACTTCCGGAGGCTGCAATCACAGAGTGGAGAAGCGTAATTATAGTTGGAGGCGCCTGCTACAGTCCATGTGCATGTTCTCTTAAAGGGACACTTGCATGGCTGTTAGGGATATAGCTAATAGTAATCAATAATATTGATTACTATTAACCTTGGCACACTCGCAACTGTTGTTTATTTGGAAAGACAATTTACTATATAGGCCCCTTCGGCCAGCCTAGTCATCATCACTTCGCGCGAAGCATTTTTGTTTAATAGTGCGATTGATGCCTCACTTACACACTCTTTTCCTTTTTCCTAAATATCATATTCCTCATGCAGTTCTCTGCTTGTTTTGTCGTTGTATCTGGCAAGAATCTTAACATCGTGCAACACCAAGGAACAGGGGCATCTACTGCAGTGAATGGCGAGGTGGCCAGACAGGCTAGCTCGCGTGGCAGCCACGTGCTCATGGGCACGTTCATTCGTGCATCCACAAATTTATTCTTGTGTTTTATGCTGCAAGGCTCAGACGGCTGCTCTATGCTGTTGATTCTGTGGCAGAGCCTAACCATCTTATTGGATGCCAAGGACACCACAGGAATGCGGTGGTGCTGGCCGACTTCCCTTAATTGTGTGAAACTGAGGGTATGGTATCACAGCTGGTCTTACATTGGACCTCTCACGAGTGGGTTTGTTTATCCAGAAGCAAGCTACCTGCAGATGTGTATAATTCAGGTCGCCAAAAGCTTGTTAAATAAAGTTGAGGCATAAACAAACCTGTTCGTGAGAGGCCCAATGTGAGACCAGATGTGGTACCATACTTACACTCATACCTGCCAACTCTTCCGAATTTTTCGTAAAATGTACAAATTGGGACTAATTTTACGATTTTACAAATCTTGCTTCAAATCTAACAAAAAACATTTTTTTTTTGTTTGTTTGTTTGTTGTTTGTTTATTGTGGGGTGTCGGGAAGGGGGGGGAGCTAGGAGAAATGTGGGTCTCCGTACAGGGGCAAGTCGCTACCTAGCTTTTGGGGAATGGGAGGAATAGAGAGGAAAGAGAGAGAGAGAAAAAGAAAAGAAAAAAATGATTGAGGCGTTTTAACGGGGCGTTGAATTGTTAGCTGACAGGCAAGTAGCGTGACTCTGAATAGCCCCATTTAAACGGGCATCCATACTTTGTGGAGAAAGCAGATCTGGCACAATTGATTAGTGCGTAATTACGCTAGAGCCGGCTTGCAAGTTTACTTTCGCGCAGATAAGCCAGGAGAGTACGAAAGGCCTTCTTGGCTACTCCTTGAGTCCCGTTTGGATTTAGAAGGTCTTCAAGATTGGAGTGGGAGAGGCCGGCCGTCGCATACCGCTGGTTCTCGAACCAGCATGTGGCTGCCACGCAAGCCAGCCTGTCTGGCCACCTCGCCATTCACTGCAGCAAATGCCTCTGTTCCCCGGTATTGCATTATGTTAAGATTCTCGCAAATACAGTGACAGAACAAGCAGAGAACTGCATGAAGCATATGAAATTTGGGAAAAAGGAAAAAAGCGTGTGAGTGAGGCATCAATCGCCCTATTAAACAAAAATGCTTTGCGCCAATGTGATGGTGACTAGCCTGACCAGTGGACTTTATATAGTAAATGTTCAAACTGGCCTTATTACCCTCTTTACTATTAGCTAGCTCTCTTCATCAAACACTTCCTTACCACCAGCATGTCACGGCCATTCGTGCACATGCACTCATCTAAAAGGCATTCATATGGATGTAATGACCGTATTTGGTTCTATTTTTATGTTTCAGATAACCTTTGGAGACATTGCGCTCCCTGAAGCGCAGTTGAAGCATGTCGACACGAAGCAGCCATCCATTTACGTTCAGGAACTCGCTGTCATGGTATTTGGAACTGAGGCCCTGACAAACTGCTGCCTTACTGGGTCGGCAATGAAGGGAAAGCTTCCTAAAAAGGGAGTTAAGGACTTGATAGGTGAGTAAATTGCCGTAAAGAAGAAATGGCAAGGCACTATTGCAATCAAACTTAACAGGAACAAATACTAAGTCTACTCTTGACATATATTGGACTTAAATCTTGGACAAAAGCTCACCAGACAGAAGCTCACCGGTCAAAAGCTCACCACGTGAAAATTTCATGTTGGTCTTAACACGAGTGCAGACAACTTAGGTGCATGCGTGCGACACTAAAACACAACAATGAATTAAATCTGATGGGCACATGGTTTGTTGATTAGACTGGAAACAAGTTTATCGATTGGTTAGAAGGAAATGCAGTCCCATACAGGCTGCCTCCAGCAGTCTTGGTAGATCTCGGTGTACCTGGAGCCCCTTGGAAATATTTTCCAGACTGTTGTGGCATACCTTGAGTCAACCCAGATTGATCTTATCAGCTTCAGCTGCACTCAGTTTGGTGACCTAATTTTTGGCCCAAATCGTTGCTTCTGTGCCTGTTATGGCTTACCTGCCGACACCGTTGCATGAGATGGGGTACCACTTCTAAAAATAGTGCAATGTCCATTGCGTCCGCACTTTGGCCCAGCTCGTGACTCACCGGGTAGCCAAAAAAAAGGGGGTGAGCTATTGTGTGGGTCTACGAAAAAAACGGGTGACCTCCTGTCCGGTGAGCTTTTGTCTGGTCACCATTGGACTTGTGTCTCGGTACTCATGGATGGTTGTTTCTTTTTGGCTTATGTTGAGGGGAGGTATTTGTCTTTTTGTGTCATTACGTCTTGCGCTACACCTCTGGTTTCCAATAATGTGGCCCAGTTCTAGCATACTTTAATTTTTGCCTAGATTATAATTCACTCTGATGTTCCTTCTGCTTAATTTTGATCGTCGATTTATATCAGCGATTAAACTTAACGAAACTTCAGTATGGTTTACTTTTGTGTACAATTTTCTGAAGATAGCTGACTGTTTACCCCAGCTTTAGGCTGCTGAATCTTTCAAAAACTTTCAGCTTGTCCAGTTGTTTTTAAAGTAATTGTTTGGTACAGTATGACCTCAGTTGGAGTATGGCCTCAGTTGGTTTTATATCAGTAAACCCTGAATTATAATATAAAAGATGTCAGAATCAAAATTAAAAAAATGTGGTCATCTGTGTGTTTAAAATTATTGTCTAGCTACGCTATCTCCGACTTTCTAGCCAAATATCCTGAGGCACTGGTTCTCGAACAGGGTTCCTAGTACAGTATACTGAGGGTTCTTTCAGCACCTGAACTTCCTCAATCGTTCCTACACCATTGTCATACTCTCAATTGCAACAATGCCAAGAGTGGAAGGGGCTCCTCGGCTAACATTAACAATAGTAAATTTTTGTTCGCTGATGTCAGAAAGTTTGAGAGTCCCTGTCACAAAGAATGTTATGTTTGCAGGCTTTTAAAGGGGTTATGAAATAGTCTTCAGACTTCGGCCAAGTAAGTGTGACAGTATCTCACCATCGCATGTGCAGTGAAGATCAGAAAACAATTTTTTCCAAGGTGCACTAGTTTTATTTAAAAAAATTAAATAGACTCAAGCTTGGGGGGCCCCTCAACCTTTAGAGTCCTTTCCAGGTCACGTGCGTGTGACATGAATTGGGGGCCAAATGAGTGAATGACAACTTTTATAAAAACCTTAGCTTCAAATTGGGCAGATACCTGCTCAACTCACAAACTCGACCACTATTGGCGCCAAGCCAGTAGTTCCTGTGGCCACCATAAGCTGCATGATGAAAAATGGACCCTTTTTTCCTTTCTGATTACGCAGTGCACTCGCGACATTTTGAGGGATCACGGTGTGTTTTCTCGTACTTGTGATAAGGTAAAAGAAATAAAAGTAACGAGCTCCAAACTGTTTCCACAGTAAACTTGTTTCATGATCCCTTTAATGCATTGCAAATTGACGAAATGCCTTGTTTTACATTATTTCACAGCAGCAATATTTCACAGTTGCCAATAAACATAGTCATTGGTCCCAGTGCTCAATATATTTAGATGATTAACTTTTTGTTGTTGGTTTCTCTTTGTGAAATTTTCTAAAATTATGTGGACCTGAAGTATAATTTTAAGTAGTATTAAGTAAATATGGAGTCTTAAGGCAAGTTTCTTAATTGTCTATTGTCTTCTCTTTTCAGCTTTTGTTACTGCCAATTCCCTGGAGAAACTCGGAAGTCCGTGAAAGAATACCTGTAAAGGAAGTGCAGCAATGCTTCCCACACTCGAAACAAAGCCCCCAACACACAGAAGAAAACTGCAGAATGAAAAAAAAAAAAAAAATTAGCTTTCATTTTTATTCATTTTGTGCCTTGGGTTTTTTTTTCTCTTAAATCTGATTAGCGATTAATTTAGATTTTATTTAACAAGTGCATTAACTTTTTTCATTCAATTTACTTCAGTCATGTAGGTGATGTTACTTCAGTCATGGTAGATGATAAATATTGTAGGTTTTATATTAACAGGTGCAATACTATTTTTGCTCGTTTTTCTTCAGCATGATAGTTTGTAATTATTTTTTTCTTCTAATAGCTTGTTTATAAAGCTTTAAGTGCATCTGTGATATTTGTAAGCCACTAAAGGTATTGCGTTTTTTGTTCCATCGTAAGTGTTTGTTGTAGGCAACATGTGTTCATTATATTGAAAAAAAAAATTTGTTTAATAAAAAGTTCTTACTTTAATTTGTCATCACTTTGAACTCGTCTACATTAAAGCCTGTAACATAATGCATTTCAGTTTCGATAAGTGCAAACCACTGCAATTGCTAAATCAATATAATTTTCTACTTTTCTTATCTGGAATTGGTCAGGAATAAATTGGTGAAATGCTTTAAAAGTTCTATTAAGTGTACCCCCGATTATATTTGAAAGCCTGCTTCCAAGTTTAATCCGGGGTACAATTTATAGTACTAAAGGCCTGCATAAAAGCATACTAAAATTCTGCTCAGAAGTGTACTAGAAGAAGTATCCTAAAAGTATGGCGAAATGCTACTTTCGAAGTGCGTCGGAAGTATACTAAAATGCCTCTTACAGGTAAGCTTAGAAGTATACTAAAAGTATGGCGAAATGCTACTTTTGAAGTGCGTCAGAAGTATACTAAAAACCGGCCAATTTAGAGCATCAAGCATACTTCTGGAAGTGCAAATAAAGTATACTTTAAGAGCCCCGGTTTTTCGCTAAGGGTAAGGACAGCAACGGGAACGGGCACCTCCCCAACACACACACACACACACACACACACGCACACACACGCACACACACACAAACACCACACTCCAACACCGAAAACCCCAAAAACATTACAATATAAAAAACTTTTAGAAAAGAAAAAAAAAGAAAAAAAGACGGCTGACTATCGCTATGCTTACAGGAGACTCGGTGTCTTTGGTGCTCAATAAGTGGTACTACAAACAAACAACACCAGCTTAACCATGCGCGACGCACCGATTATATCTACAATGGAAGACAGAAGTTGATAACCACAAGGACATTTTCTTTCCGAACTCTGACCGGATATTCGGAGCCGGGAGAGAGGAATTCAGAACCCCTCAAATAGGCGTTTGCGAGGAGGTTTGAAGTTCTGTCATTTACGAAGCGAGTAAGAGTCTAGTGTCAAATCGAACAGCCATGGCCCAACGATTCAGCACCGTGCGATTGTTCTGTGTGGACTATCTACGGAGACACAAGAAGAAAGTGTATAGCGATAAGCACCTCGTATCAATAGGGAGACTCAACAAAGTGCGGTTGGAAAAGCTACTGGCTCCACGGACAGTGAACGAATCTGACCTTTTATGCCAACATTGCTACAAATACCTCCAGAATGAGATTGCTTCTCCTCACAACGTGAGTACATCAGACTCTTCTTTCCGGGACTCTGATGAAGTTCTGGCTGAAGTGAGTCAAGAATTGTGTGCTGCTAGTCCGTCGGTAACTCCATTGAAACCACGTAAAACCATTAAAAAAAAAAAAAAGGCGCGAAGCGTATTTGAAGAAAAAACAAGCTCAAGTGAGTTCTTCCATTAGAAGAAAGCTGTCAGGCGTTTATGGCATGAAAACCGGCGAAGACAGTTGTGAGCACTGCGCGGAGTGGTTTGACGCATTCCGCGAAGCGCTGAAGGCATGCAGTTCCCACCAGGAACGCAAGCTATTGTACACGCTTCTGCCACCAAGCATCTCGAAAAAAGAAATATTGCGTCTGGTGCCAGAAGCGACTGCCTACATGATTGATCAAACGTAAAAACTGAAGCGTAAAGGTGGTGTATGGGCAACGCCTGATCCCTACATGGGGAAAAAGGCGAATGCCGAAGACGTGAGAGTTGCACTTGAGTACTACACACGCGACGACCTCGCATGCTCTATTCAAAGCCCCAACAAAAAGGACGTCGTCAAAGCCATGATCAACGACAACAAGACCAAAGTCGTAAAAAGGTTTATGACCCGCTCTGTTAAGGAAACTTACCAGCTGTTTGGGAAGGACCATCCCCATCGAGAACTAGGCATCTCTAAGTTCTATTCCCTACGACCAAAATGGGTAAAAAAGAGTCCCGAGCATGAGGTGTGCGCTTGCATATGTTGCGTCAATTTTCAGTTGCTTTTAACGGCAATAACAAATGCCTCACAGGAGACATTTACTGAAGACGACTTCAAGCGCATCTACCTCTGCAGCCCTCCACAAAACGATTGCTTCCTGCGCCGTTGCGAAAAGTGCCCAAAAATGCAGAGCATCTCGCTGCAGTCGCTCCATCTCGACGAAGACGAAGAGATCTGTTACGCGTTATGGGACGCCGGCGAACTCGTCAAAAAGGTTATGGACACTTCCGCTTTCCTAAAGGAACTGGAGTCATGGAGCGAAAAGTATATGAGGCATTCTTACATCCGTGACCTTCAACGAAGCCTGATACGTGACACAAGAACCGCCTTACCACCCAAGGCAGTGATGTTCCACTTCGATTTTGCGGAAAATTGGACAGTCATCTTCCCAACCGAAGTGCAGAGTTTTCATTGGAAAAAAACTCAAGTGTCTCTCCTCACATGTGTGGTTACGTCCACGCAAGGCACGGAAAGCTTTGCCGTTGTCAGCGATGCCACGATACATGACACAGCTCACGCTCTTCTAGCCACAAAAGCCATAGAAGAGTATGTTGATGAACATTACCCGCTCTTTTCTGAAATAATTTTTGTATCAGACGGAGCGGCGGCGCATTTCAAGAATCGCTTCCAATTGCACGAATTATCTCGGAAGCCGTACTCTTTGGCAAGATGGATCCTTTCAGCCACTGGACATGGAAAAAGCGCTTGTGATGGAGTAGGTGGTGTTCTTAAACACCACGCAACGCTCACCAACTTGAGATCTTCGCTCAACTCAACGATTGTCACCGCTAAAGACTTTGTGGAAGTGCTGCGTGAAAAAGTAACAAATGTCTGAATGTTCCACCTGTCTGCGGAACGGGTTCGAGAGTTTCGTGTGGTGAAGCAAGTAGAGTGGGCCACCGTAAAACCTGTGAGAGGAATCCAGGCATCTCATCTGTGGAAGTCATCATATGCCGAGAGGCCGGATGTATACATGGCCACTTGCGCAACTGAGAGTTTTAAGCTTAGGTATGCATAGTTAGCGAATTTGCAGAGTGGGGCCATTTTGTTTTTGTGAATTGTAAACTAAGTAATGGTATTCCAACCTAAAGTACATTTTCGTGTCAGTTATACTAACCCCTTCTGAAAAAAAGAATTTGAAAAATATAAAATGCATGCCATAACTAACGCTCAAAATATTTGGCGCTGTGCGGCAAAGCCGCTATGACGAAGACGTCGGCTCGCTCCGAGTGAAGCTGTGTCGTAGCTTTTCCCGTTTGGAGGTCATATGTTACTCAATGTTTTGCCATCACAAGTTAGTTCAAGTCACTGCAAAGTGCCAAGGAAAGTTTAAAAAAAATAAAAGATGGAGTTTTTGAAATATTGACGCCCAATCTTGCCACATTTTGAGAAATCAGCTGCATTTCCGCATTAATAACAAGAAGACAATTAAGGGTAGACATATTATCTCTATACATTCGTAAAGACTATTTATAGGCGCGCATTTTGATATGTTTTGTGAAGTATTATGACAAATGGTTTATTTGCAAAGAAAATTGTGAATATGTCTCTGAAACGCGTTTTTATGCCATGTTTGATAGTTTTGTTTGCATAGAAATAATTTATTGATATTTTTACTTTTTTGTGTATGTGTTGTATATCTTTTGTAAAATGCATTAAAAAAGTTATGGTGACGTGAAAGCTTTGATGAGAAAATGACGACTGCGCAAAGTAGCATAGTGAAATCTTCTCGATTTCCACGCCACGAGCTTCTCTATTTTATATCTCAGCGAAAAAATTTGTTACGGCATTCATATATAGCTTGATGTTACTCCCAAGAACATGGCTTTCATATATATTTTTAACAAAAATATCAAAATTATGACCCGGACCATTATTGCATGAACTGACGTGGAATCACCCATATGTGCCCCAATGTTGCCTAAACATTTGCTTAGAAAGATTGTGCGCAAGCGAGTTCATAAAAGCGCTAGGTTACATTTTGCAACCTATGCTGGAAAGGATAGTTGAGAGCTTACCTCCTCTCCAACAAACAGATGTGACAGTGCCATGGTTTCCTTGACATTGTAAACCACGATCATCGTAGCCGCTACTGCCAAGATGTCTGAAAAATAGTAGCACCGTTCCAGTATAAGGTTAGTAGAAATTCTCTACAGTTTTTATGCCCTTGGCGCCGTGGAGGGCTCGCCTTCCACGGCGCTTGCCTACATGATTTGCAAGGTCCATCGAAGTTGGAGCTTCGGGCACTAAAAGGAGTGTGGAGCTGGATGCAGTGCTGTACAAGCATACTTCTTGTAAGCGTCTAAAGCGCACTAGCGAAGACTCTTGGCTCTAGCCGATATCAGGGGCAGCAGAAGACGACCAAGACCATGCTAATGTTCCGAGCATGCCTACTTACAGCGCCCGGCGAGTCGAAGGCACAGATTGGCGAGCATTTGTTGCATTAGTCCCATAACCACCTGTTGCACAAAATTAAGGAGCTTGGTTCTAAGCAAAGTTTCCTGCGATCACACAGGTGTAATCGCAGCCACTGCACAGCTGTGACAACTGCTCAAGTGCACCTTTACTGCTGAGAGCTACTGTGGTGCACCCCCTGTTCCACCGCTTCATGGCGGGTGTGTTGATGATTTGATGTTTTCGTTGCTTTCAGATGTTCCTTG